TCTATTGTACAGTTTAAAAAATGATAAATAATAATACAGAACTAATCCTCCAATAATTTCTTAATGTGAGATTTTGAACCTGGCTAGTTTACATTTTTCCAGACATTCATTTAGAAATACATAGTCGTCTTTAAACTGTGAAGTAATAGTCTGTTCTTTGTCATGCATGAAGGGGACAGTACGCTAATGTGAGGGAGGGAGCAGCTATTGCTGTGAGCCTTGTTCACTTCATGTTTTATAGTATTGCTCCAGGAAAAAAGGTGAAAATCATGGCATTTGAATCTATGCCCCCTGCCCCCAACCCAAACAGACATTTTAAGCCAATTCAGGAATTTGAGAAGATTCACTGAGAATTGTAGTTATATCAGTAAATCAGAACCAAAAGACCCATAAGTAAGACCAATTTTAGACAAAAAAGAGCTTGCTAAATATTTTTTGTACAGTTGGATATCCAGTCACAGGCTGTTGCCAAAGGGACAAGGGCGTCACCTGTGCTATTCTGCTGTCTCACAAAAATCCCAGGAGACTTATTTTCTGGTGAATTATATGTGTTGAAAGACAAAGTTGGAAAACTTTTGCTTCCCCCCCCCCACATCTTTTTTTCACTTGTTTGCAATTTTCTTTAGCTGATACTATAATTCTAGGAGACATCTCAGCAGTTGTACATAGTCATGCTGGATATAGGATATTGAATATTGGTTTTCACTAGCCATGGAGGGAATGGATCCTTTCAACACTGGGAAATAGCTCTTTCTTGGAGCCTCCATTTGTAAAGGAACATAATATTTAAGAAAGCAAGAAGGGTCTGCTACCTCCTCTGACTCAGCCTCCATGAGATCAGAGATAATATATTGTTATTTATTAGATTGCTCCTATCTGCAGAAATCGGCAGCAGAAACTGAAACCAGTTGAAGGCAGTGCCTCTTAGTGAGGTAGCCTCCATAACCAGAACAGTCCCTCTATTGGGGACTTCAGAGAAAATAGGGTGAATGAGAAAAAAGATCTTTTAGTCTCCACCACAGATCACAAATCCCTGAGGTTGTAATGGATTCAATACCAATCTCTTGCCATCAGTACTCCAGTCTCATTCGCTCTTGTGCCATCTGTCAGCCATGCTGTCCATCAACAACCCATGGTGACCCAAGAGGAGGATGCATAGGGAAAGGATATGCACAAGAACAGTCTTAGACAACAAGTAGTTGTAACGTATTACAAGCCTGTCAACTCAATGATCCAATGTCTGGATACTGTTCTCTGCTCTAAAGTTCTGGAACCCAACAGAATCCATGAGTCCCCAGGGGTGGAACATCAAAGCGGGTCCATCACCCTGTTAGAAAGGTGGAACAAGACCCAGACCTCAGCATGGAAGAGGTGATCAGATTGTGGCAAGGCATACTTAACATCTGTGCTGCAGATCAGATCCGTGTGTGTGCCATGGTTATCACCAGAGCTGTGAGATCTCATGCCATTGTACTGGAGTTATCCATGAGTCGTGGTGACTTCAGCATCATAAGAACACCATTATATTATTCCTAAAAGTACTGTGATCTGTATGTCATTCTTCAGAGTCCCACTGGAATATCATTACCAGAAGCACCCCCTGGTGCTCAGGTGTGTCTACATAAGTGTAACTTGAGTAAATAATGTTTATCTATGACCTGACCTTACACTTTTGTAAAACAAAGGTTTTTGTGATAGTTCTGAATAGCACAGTGGAACCCTACATACACTTGTACACTTAAGAGCTTTCTTGCTTTACTTTTTTATTCACTTCTATGTGCTGATGTGTGTGTGTGTGTGTGTGTGTGTGTGTGTGTGTGTGTGTGTGTGT